TTACCCGTTGGATGTTTCCCTATTATTTTTAGACCTGCATTTAAACTAGTATGCCCAATCCTTAACCTGTTTATCCATATTTCCTCTCTTCTACTCATTATACTGTTATATCCTATGCTAATATCTTTATGTATTTTATATAAATGTCTTCCTTTTTTTTCTAAATTCCATCTCTTCTGCCATACCTTATTTATTTTATCTTTAATAATTACTTTTATTTCTGTTCTACTTAGCGGGACATCATATTCAATTTCTCCTACTTTAACTGCTTCTTTAGCTAACTTATCTACTTTTTCATTACCTAAGATTCCTTTGTGTGCTGGAACCCATGTGAATTGAATACTTATATTTTGTTGCCTTATACCATACATTAAATAACTGACTTCATCTAAAAGATCTTGACGGCTTTCAGATTTTCCACTTTTAAAACTAGTCAGGCAAGACATTGAATCTGAACAGATAACTACATTTCTAGGCTTCACCTCCAGCACCCATTGCAATGCTAAAATAATTGCCAACATCTCTGCTGAAAAAATTGATAAATTATCTGTTGTTCTTCTCTTGATAGAAATATTTTCTTTTGGAATATATACTGCTACCATTTTCCTCTTTTGATGCATCTGTATATATTTGTGTCATATTTTCATACCTTACTTCTAAATGCTGCTGAATAATTTGATACAAACCTCCACAAGACTCTTCTATTTTTTTAGTTTCTAAATTTACTATTGGCATTTCGAAAAACCATGGAGCAATTTTAGATGTACTTACAGTTTTACAGTATGTTATATTACTTATCCCAGAATACTCTGCATAAATATTTCCTTCCCATCCAAAACTCCTTATATTATGGCCATATTCCCAACATTCTCTGAATATCTGTTTAGTAGGGTGATTTTCCTCATGCCCTTGTAAATTTAACCAGTAATTTATTGACAGTTTCATCCTCCTTAAGTCCAGTGGCATTTCTCCAGTAATCACTTGAAGAGCAGGAACTGGAGATGTTCGAAAAGCACCACTACATATCCTAAGCGCTTTGGCTTGGATTCTATCTAAATCTAACAACAAAGAATTTGCAGCTGATTTATAAACAATACATCCATAGTCCAACACAGATCGAATTAAAACATCATATATTCTTTTCAAGGATGAGCTAGTTGCCCCCCAGTCATTCCCTGACAAACATTTCAATATATTAATACCTTTTTTACATTTATCAATACAGGTGCTGGTCATAAAATTAGAATATCATGAAAAAGTAGACTGATTTCAGTAATTCCATTTAAAAAGTGAAACTTGTATATTATATTCATACATTACATACAAACTCATATATTTCAGATGTTTATTTTGTTTAATTTTGATGATTACAAATGACAACAAATGAAAATCTCAAATTCATCATATCAGAAAATTAGAATATTGTGAAAAGGTTCAAAATTGATGGCCCCTGGTGCCACACTCTAATCAGCTAATTAACTCAAACCACCTGCAAAAGCCTTTAAATGGTCTTTCAGTCTAGTTCTATAGGCTACACAATCATGGGGAAGACTGCTGACTTGACAGTTGTCCAAAAGACGACCATCGACACCTTGCACAAGGAGGGCAAGACACAAAAGGTCATCGCTAAAGAGGCTGGCTGTTCACAGAGCTCAGTGTCCAAGCACATTAATAGAGAGGCGAAGGGAAGGAAAAGATGTGGTCGAAAAAAGTGTACAAGCAAGAGAGATAACCGCACCCTGGAGAGGATTGTGAAACAAAACCCATTCAAAAATGTGGGGGAGATTCACAAAGAGTGGACTGCAGCTGGAGTGAGTGCTTCAAGAACCACCACACACAGACGTATGAAAGACATGGGTTTCTGCTGTCGCATTCCTTGTGTCAAGCCACTCTTGAACCACAGACAGCGTCAGAAGCGTCTTGCCTGGGCTAAAGAGAAACAGGACTGGACTGCTGGTGAGTGGTCCAAAGTCATGTTCTCTGATGAAAGTAAATTTTGCATTTCTTTTGGAAATCAAGGTCCCAGAGTCTGGAGGAAAAGAAGAGAGGCACTTCATCCACGTTGCTTGAAGTCCAGTGTAAAGTTTCCACAGTCAGTGATGGTTTGGGGTGCCATGTCATCTGCTGGTGTTGGTCCATTGTGTTTTCTGAGGTCCAGGGTCAACGCAGCCACATACCAGGAAGTTTTAGAGCACTTCATGCTTCCTGCAGCTGACCAACTTTTTGGAGATGCAGATTTCATTTTCCAACAGGACTTGGCACCTGCACACAGTGCCAAAGCTACCAGTACCTGGTTGAAGGACCATGGTATCCCTGTTCTTAATTGGCCAGCAAACTCTCCTGACCTTAACCCCATAGAAAATCTATGGGGTATTGTGAAGAAGAAGATGCAATACACCAGACCCAACAATTCAGAAGAGCTAAAAGCCACTATTAGAGCAACCTGGGCTATCATAACACCTGAGCAGTGCCACAGACTGATCGACTCCATGCCACGCCGCATTGCTGCAGTAATACAGGCCAAAGGAGGCCCAACTAAATACTGAGTGCTGTACATGCTCATACTTTTCATGTTCATACTTTTCAGTTGGCCAACATTTCTATAAATCCTTTGTTTTTATTGGTCTTCAGTAATATTCTAATTTTCTGATATGATGAATTTGAGATTTTCATTTGTTGTCATTTGTAATCGTCAAAATTAAACAAAATAAACATCTGAAATATATGAGTTTGTATGTAATGTGTGAATATAATATACAAGTTTCACTTTTTAAATGGAATTACTGAAATCAATCTACTTTTTCATGATATTCTAATTTTATGACCAGCACCTGTATGTATCTTAAATGAAAGTTTTTCGAGTTCTCCTTTTTTCTCTTGCTCCTTTTTACTGCTCTGCTCACACCTGCTCCTAATCTGCTCGTTAACTCTCTCTTTGTTTCAGTCTCCTACAAATACTCTCTGTTCTGTTCTTCTTTGCTGGGTCCTCGTCTAACGTCATCAGTCTTCCTCCTACTTGTCTCTCCGAGCCGTCCTCCTGGTTACAGTTCTTCCCCTGATGACTCCTAAGTTTTTGGTAAAGTTTTGCCTTGTGTTTTCTTTTTTTTAAGGTCTTTGAATTTTTGGACTCCTGGTTTCTCGTTTGTTTTTGGACTTTGTTATCATTTGTTTTTTTTTTGAATTCCTGTTGCTTGTCGTTTTGGACTTTGTTTTTAAGTTCTCTTCGTTAACTCAACCTAATATTCACCTCTGCCTGCCTACCTCTGCTTTTGGGTCCACAACCCACAAACAAACCCTGACACATAACTGATAAACTAGCTCACTGTGCAATATCACAAGAGGCAACCATTTGGTTTGTTATATGTTAGTTGTGAAACATTATTATTTTTATATTATTATTATAGATAATTTTTTATCATAACACTTATGGAAAAATATCAGAGATACAATTTTTAAGCCATATCTCCCACCCTATGGAGTTATTTTTGTGTTTTTATTAAATTAAAGAAAAAAGCGATCTGCAAGGGAAAAATAATTTTGAAAGTAAAATAAATGTATTGGAGGGAACGATTTTCACACTGTAAACGTAAACGCTGATGTTATTTAAGAGGAAAAAGTTTTAACAAAATATTTTCTCTTAAAACTTTTTCTTCAGTCTTAACATCAGTGTGAAAATGTTTTCTCTCCAAGACATTTATTTTACTATCAAAATTATTTCCGTATTTATGTGTGGCCAGGTCATAACTGTCAAGGAATTTAAAGACATACCTTATCACAAAATTATTAATTAAAAATAATTAACTCTTTTTAAAACATCATTAGAGGTTGTATCAAATATGTTGTTGCTCTGCATTCATTGGGTTTTTATAGTTTGCATGATTTGAGCAAAGCTTAAAAACACATCAGGAAAAATGGATAAAGTGCTATTTCCACACATAAAATACTACATTTCATGAGATGTGTTTCAAAAAGACAAAGGCTACGTTCACACTACAGGCCTCAATGCTCAAATCCAATTTTTTGGTGGAAATTGTTGTGCTTGGTGGTTAACATTTCCAAAAGTATGCGACTTGTATGATCTCCGTGTGAACTGCAATGATACAGCTTAAGTGTCCCGTATGCGCAGTAGAGGACGCAATGACATCACAAGTAGCGAGTGTGCTCTCTGTTTATAGAAGTAAACATGGATGGTAGAGCTGGAGCGCATCTAAGGATCTTTCTTTTCTTTTCCAACTGCAGCCAGCGCATTAACAACACTATCTTTTCAAGAAGATCAAAAAGAAAGACTGCTCTCTACATCATCATCCCTCATGGTTGGTTTTCTTCCTGCTTCTGCATAGCAAGATAAATAGTGCTGTTTGTTGAGTATTAATGACGTTCAGGTCAGATGAATGTGACCTGGCTGTTCAGACACAGGTAACATTTGAAAAGATCTGATATGTATCACATTCAGAACCTCATAGCCATGTGGCCTGGGTCGCATTGGAAAAAAACTGATCTGTTTTGTTCAGACTGTCATGAAAAGATCTGATAAAGATTGTAAATGGTAAAAAAAAAAATCGGATTTGGGTGACATGTCATCTCTTTTCTTATCGGCTCCATTAGCGCTCTGGAGAAGCCCCTCAGTCTGCAGCATCTCAACCATTTCAAATACAGGAAGTGATGAGAGATTCTGGAGCAGGATAAATGAAATGATATTCTACCTTATTCATGTGACTAGTCTCTTTGTTCTTAACAGAATTCAGCAGGTGTATGAGCAACATGCAGGAACACAGAGTTGTCACTGCCTACACAGAAATGATAGAAACCTTTTTGAGGGTGCAAGTAGATGATAAGACATCATTCCTTTCTACACAAAGTAAACAATCCCCTGTCATTTGGGTAGTGTTGGCTAATGCTGAAAGGAAACAAAAATGTACTTTGCAATTCAGTCCAAGTCAGGCGGTTAGATAGAGTTTAACAGGGAAGAGAAAGCTGATTGCCCAGCTTTAAAGATGAAATCATTTAGTTATAGTTTAACATATAGGTAAACTCATGTAAACCAAAACAATACACCACCTGTCTTGCACAGAGTCCATTTTCTCCTGAACTTTCCCAGAATACAGGTTGTTGCTGTCCACCACTCGCTGTCCGCCCTGCATGACACCATCAATCTTATCTTCGTTGGCTTCCATCATGCTGACAAAGTTCTCATGCTTCTTCAATGCTTTTTCTGCCCCTGCCAATGTGTCAGGCTTGTCTATGTGAGCCAGAGTATACTCCTGCAACAAAACAAGCATTGTGGGATTTAGAAAAAGGAAAAAAATGCCTCAGAACATGAAGGTGGACTCTCCAGAAACCAATATTTTACTGATGGAATTACAAGACAAACAAGTGGTGCGGAAACTGACAATGCAGCATTCCTCAACTCAACATTCTTGCTGAATTCCTGCAGCATTGTTGACCTGAGATGTTCAAGGTGTCTTAGATGATTTGACCCTCTACTAAAACAAAATTACATGATGAGGAAAATGATTACCTGGTTATTGAGGATGGCTTCTACAGCTTTACAGTCCCTCAAGAACTGCTGGAAGCCCAGACCCTGGTCCAGGAAATGTTTGCGACTGTCCCAGATCTTCTGAAGTTCATACCAGCCCCGGTCAAGGCCCTTCAGTCTCTGGTCCAGCTGCTGGTACTGAGGATCATCTTCCTGGCCCTGGATGACCCGAGCTCCAGTGTCCCTTACCCGGTGATAGTCCTCTTCATGGTTGTTTATGTCTTCTCGCACAGCGTTGTGAAGGCCGAGCAGCTCTTCGGCCTCCTGCAGCGAGGTGGGCATCTCCTCAGATGCCACAGCTTTCTGAGTCTTGAAAAGCCAAGACTGGAAGTCATCCATGTCTTGGAGGAAGGTCTGTAACTTACTGACCTCGCCGAGAGAGTCTTCCCTGTCTTTAAGGGTTTTTCTAAGCTTATCCCAGGCCGTGTCCAGCTCTCTCCTGCGGGCTAAGATATCCTCTGCATTCTCCGGGTGATCCTGGGCCAGCTGTTCCGCCTCTTCTTTAAGGAAGGTGAGCTTAGCCTCAATGGCAGCTAAATCTCTCTCCATGCCGAAAAGTTTCCTTTGGATGGTAATGACAGCTGCCAGGTCATTGCCCAGATCCTGTGTGGACTCGATCACTCGTGTCTTTTCTTTGATCCAGGTTCCTGTCTCATCACACTCCAAGCCATAGTTATGTAGACTGACAGCAGAATCCACTTTCATTTTCTTGTCCTCTACCATGGCCTTGAAAGCCTCCCATCTAAAAAAAAAGTAAACATTTTATTATGAGCTTAACGTACGACAATTCCATAATTCATATTCTAAAAATACTTTAATATCTCATTATCTGGACCTTTAATTTTTCAGTAAGATTTTACTTATTTAATCTATTAGCAGCTATTAAATAAAAATAAATATCTCACATTTACACATTATTTAAAAAATCCTAACCTAGCTTAAAATAAAGCTTGCAACAATTTTTTATGTTATATCATTGGTAATTACAGTAATTGTTAAAAAATACACACATTTTTTTTAATGTCACAAATACATTTTAATGAGTTTTTGATACATTTCAATAGCTTTCTTTTTCCTTTTTGGAGAAATGCGCTCCTCCCCTACCTGTTGCTGTACCATGCCATTAAGCCAGTCTTATAAAAAACACAGTCAGTTTATTTAACTTTTTTTTTTTCAGATCTTTTCAGATCATATGAAGCTAGTGATGAAAGTTATTTGTCTAAAGCCAGTTAGAGAGAGAATCAGGAAGAATTACATAAAAGTTCCCATGATTGGAATTTGAAATTGGGTTTGCTCGGTTGAGGTTTAAGCCACAGTATTTAGGCCTCTATTGCTAAACCAGCATCATCCCTCAGTGATCAGTCTTGTTCAAATATCACCTTCGTTAAAAAATTGTACAAGATTTAGGGAAAATTGTCATGTATAGTTAGCTATTGCAAGCTGGCTACCTATGCAGAAAGCTTTACTAATTACAAACTGAATATCATAATTTTTAATGATCATATTAAGAAATTTTGACTATTAGAAGGCCAGAGCATTAGCAAGCATTTATTATCATTCTTTGTTACATTAAATGACTATGATCACGTTAAAAATCTCCCTTTTGAATATTTGTGTAAACAACATGAAGTACTCGTTGTTGTCATTAGTCTCTAAATATCCTAAAATTAGTCTCCACATAAGTTAGGGTTGCAGCTAAGACCTGGTATGCTTTCATTTGAGAAATAAGAATATGACCATTTAAAAAGCGGGAAGTGGAGCTAAATTAATGATGAAATAAATTTTGGTGAAAGCTTTATTAGATGATTGTTGTACAATAAAAAAGAATTTTCTAAAAGTACCTTTTATTTAGTCGTGTCTGGCATTCCTTGATCTCTTTAGTGCGGGGGTGTCTGCTGTCCTCAAGCTGTTTTGCAGCTTTATTGACGTCATCTACTCTTGACTGAACGTTCGCCATTTCCTGAGCGAGAGCGCTCAACCTGCAAATGAGACAATAGCTAGTTAGAAAAACAACATCAGTTAAAATGATGCAGTAACTTTCAGCCCATTAGTTTCATTTAGATTACTGATCTCCAGTTACATCATTTTTCTAGTCTACCTGTTTTGTACCACTTCTAAATCCTCCAGGTTCTCAGGCACCTCTAAGCCCACCAGCCATGTCTCCTTCATGCTCATCCAGAGCTCACAAGCGTCTGTCTCACTGAAGATGGTGTACAAAGCCATAGTGTCATCCAGCTTCTTCTGTCTCAGGTCAGCCAGAGTCAGGAGCTCCATGTAAAGGTCCTTGACGTCTTTGAGACGCCTCTGAATGTCAGGGGTGTTTTGTAGCTCCTCTGGCAGTGCATTGGCTTGCTTGGACAGCATTTCGATGGTAGCTCCATTCTTAATGGCTTCATTTCTTAAGCTGTTGTGGTTTTTCAGTAGCCGTTGAGTCGTGTACTCATCGTGGCCTACATCATCACTGCTCGTTTGCCTCTTGGCATCAAGCAACCAGGCCTTGAGTTCATCAGCATCACCCTGAAACTGGAAGAAGGTCTGTGTGTCCTGAAGGTTCTGCTTCCGAAATGTGGCCAAGTCCTCCAGCTGCTGCCACTGCCTCCTGATGTCATCCATGCACTCTTGAATCTTTGGAGAACCAAAGTGCTTGGCTTGGATCATCTTATCCCCTTCAGCCAAGATCTGTTCCAGATTGGTGCAGCGAGCTCCAAGCTCATCCTCGAAGGCGCTGTGCTTGCTCTGGAGCACCAGCACGCTGGTAAGGTCTTTTCCATAATCCAGGGAGGAGAACAGCTGCTCCTTCTCTCTAATCCAGCTCTCTAGCTCAGCCACCTCCCACAGGAAGTTCCAGAAGCGGCGAGACTGCTCCAACCGAGCCCTCCTCTGTGCAGCCAGGGCACAGAGGTCCTGATAGCAGAGGTCCAGGTGCTGCACCCTGTCACGGATCACTTGGGGATCACATGGCTTATAACCTGCAAAGAGAAAAAAAATCAGCAAAACGTTCCTTTATACAGAGTAGGACATGCTGTTTTCCCCAATGTATATCTTCCTTTTTCAGCTGGAATGTGGAATTGTAACGAGGCATGTCCCTGTTTCCAGTATCAACATATACCGGGAAGTTATAGCTTTAAAAGAAACCCTTTTGACACAAAGTTCCAATAGTGTAAAAAATGCTTTGCTTATAAGAGAGGCAAATTTGAGTGTTTGGAAAAATTTCAGGCCACAAAACATCCCAATAAATTGGAAAAATCAGATGAGCAAACGATAGCAAGTGCACACGAAAAACAAGGTTACAGGGTATTGTGAATTGTAAAGTAATTCACAGCAGCATTCAGGTCTGCCACATTTACTGGTTCATTTCCGATGTTAAACCAATGCATAAAGTTTCACAGAAAGCCAGCTATTTCTTTCCTCGAAGGTGTAATGAGTATGTTCCACTTACTATCTCCATTTGCAAACTTCAGAGCAGCAGCACTGGCACTCTGTACCCTCTCTGCCTGCAAGGCGATGTCGTTCTCTAGCAGTGCATGCTTTTGGAGTAAGTCCTCCACCTCTAACAAGTGTTTCCCAAAGTCAGGAGACAGCAGTCGAGCCTGAACAGAAGCTTTAGGATTAGATTTCTTTATCGAACGTTGATGGTTTTTAGAGTAAATATATGCATTCATACCTTCATTTCATCCATCCAGCTGATGATGTAGAGCATCTCCTGGAAGATCCTCTGCAGGGTAAGGTTCATATCCAAGCGTCCTTTTCGAGCCTTGAGAAGCTCCTGCAAGTAGTCCCACAGCCTCAGGATGTTGTCTTTTCTCACGTCAATCCGTTTGGAGTCGTGGTAACGCTCAGACTCCAGCTCCAAAGAGATGTTCACCAGCGCCTGAACACGCTCCTCGTATGCGGCGATGTCCGTCTCGATGGCATCATGCTTCTTCTTAGCGGCTTCTACAGCCGGCAGGTCATAACCAAAGTTATCCTGCGGAGAGAGAAGGTTGAATTGTATGTTACTGTAAACTAGTTCATTTCAGCCAAACTTTAAAACATGATAGTACAGATGGATTTCCACAGTAGACACTCTTTCATGTCTTTATATTTTACGGTCAACTGAAAGCTTAAAATTTAAAGAAAAACACATTTAAAGCCAGATCTTTGTTTACAGTTGTTGGCTAACCTGAGCCACCAGTCTCTGGTTCTCAAGGAGCCACGTCTCCCTCATGGCTGCCTTCCTGTCGAATCTTCGCGCCATCTGTTCCAGCTTCTCCTGCCGGATCAGCTCATCCCTCAGGACGCGTTCCCGCTCGTGTTCCGCCCTTTCCAGACGCTCCCAGGCCTGCACAGGGATAATGAGAAGCATCTTGAGTCTTTGTAGTTTTCACAAGGGTCGTCAATTCAGCAATATGAGATGTTTAAAACATGCAGATGTTCCCTTCTGCTTGATCTCATCCTTAATGAAAAGCTCAGAGGTTAAAAAAATATCCAGCATCAAGATTTGTTTATTCAAGTATTCAGTATGCTATGAAATGATGCATATTTGAGCATGCTATAAAAGAAGAGACTGAAATATATTTTACAGAAATTTTATGAACTTCATTCACACATAGCAGTTGAGGGAAAAATATACATGACTTTAAAAACATCTAAATATTGATCTAAATTGTCTTATCTAATAATCGTAAATAAAAAAAGAGACCACTGGTGAGTAATTTATTCTCGTCACAACAGCATTTCTGTGAAGGTCTCAGAAAAAAAAGACTTCTGGAAGAGTTTAATTAAAGTTAATAATTTTACGAAGTCCAGAATTTCTTTTGATTCCTCATTGTTTACCCAAATGCAGACCAGCTGAGTCAAAACTATCTACCTAAACCAAACAGCCACTACGAAAGAGGAAAGATTACAAAAATAGCTAAGAGATTAATGCTAACTCCGAGGGAGCTGCAGTAAAAAACAGCTCAGGTGGAACAGTCCTCTAACAATAAAGTGGAAACAGAAAGCCCCTTCATGGCTTGTTGCAAAAGCCAATATGTAAGTAAGGTTTCTTTTACCTAATGTGCAAGAAGCTATGTGTGATAGGGGGATAAGCACTCAGCGGCCTGAACAACTCCATTATTAAACACAAGCTTAGAGCCAGAGTAAAGCAGATCAAGTTCAAACATAAACCACATTTTCACGGCTGCAACTGGGGAGCCAGTTATCCTTCAGACCAGATACTCCTTCATTTATTGGAAAATGAGAACTGAAGTTGCTATATATTTACAATTTCTTTGTATTTTACTTCTATCAACGTAATTGTTTTATGAAACAGTTTTGAACATCATTAAGAATCAAAGAAGCAAAATCAAAACTGATGTTATTGTGTCATGGATTTTAATTTTACAGTCCCACCCCTACATCTAAAGGTTCCTCTAAAACTGTTCAGACCATCTGATATTTTCACTCAGATGTAAAAACATGAAAAAAGTTTCATACGTATGAATATTATGTGCCTTAAAATGCATTGAAAGTTCATATATATTAATAATTGTTGTTTCTTAAATGCATAGTTCAGTATGTTGTTGTGTTAATATGTTATTTTTTTTTTTTTTTACTTTCAGACAAAGTGAAACTTTAGTTAAGAGTCCTGTTCAGCACAGACGGCAGAGCAGACCTCTGGTTTGTCCTCTCACCCTGTTGATGTCAGAAACCAAGGCTCCCTCTTTGGGCGTGTAGACCCTTTGGTTATTGGCCCTCATGCGACTCTGAATGGTGAACAGAAGCACCTCTAGATTTCCTTTCTCTTGAAACCTTAAAAAAAAAGAAGAAATTTAACCACAAGGGGGTATGCAGAAATGAACCTCCAAACAAAAAGAGACACTTTTAGAATCTTGTGAGATTTATGCAACTTATTTGGACTCACTTGGGCGGCTTCTCTACAGTCCGATATGTGTTGAAGGCCTGAAGCTGCTGCTGGACTCCAGTAAGAGAGTTGGCAAGCTTTCTGTTGTTCAGCACGATGATGGTCTGCTCAATCCACGTCAGCAAGTCTGAAGCCAGCGTCTCATACTTATCGATCATCTTCTCCGTCTCTATAGCTTGATCCAGAACCTGGAGAATGAGGCCATATGTAAACAAAGGTGCTGGCTCTGCAGACTATGAGCACTTCCTGTGTGTCTTTCTAACCTTTCCAACTCGCTTTCCCTCAACAGCGAGCTGCTTCATCTTTGAGAAGTAGTGGTAAAATGCCACCACATAGGTGATGATGGATTTTTCATCTGGGTTCTCTGTGAAAACATCTGGAAAGCAAAATGACAGATAAGTTAATCAGAGCAACACGAGACATCACCTCGCCTCCACCCAAATCAATGCTTATGAACATTGAGTTTTATGCGGAGGTGTTCACAGTCATCCGTCACTCGCCTTCTGGGTCTAACAGTTTGGTCACTCCAAGCTTTTGTTCCGCTACATTAAAAGCATTCTGCAGGTTGTGGGTTGGATTGGACTTCTTCAGTTTGGTATAGTCCACCAGATCTGGCCTGGAAGAGAGATGAAAGAGCAGAAAAGACAAGACAGGATGAGAGATTAAAGAAAAATGAAGGGAGACACAGAGCAGACTGTGTGCTAAGAGAGCAGGTTTTATTTTTCATCCATACCGGTGTTTGTGTATGAGGGCGTTGAAGGCCATTCCGTCCTTCCAGCTGGTGGTGAAGTTTGTGATGTTGATGTTTGGGTATCTGTGAAATAAAAGTGATTGGATGTCACTGACTGAACATGACAGGATATTTCTGTGTAGCTCCAGCTTTAAATCACTGTCTGGGTTCTGTATGACGCTAAACCTTTTATAACCATAGGTTCAAAGCCCTGAAGAGAAATATGTTTAGCCTTTTTTTATTTCTGCGTGTGAGGCTGTTGTTGTTATTTTTCTAAACCAGTTCAAAACATGCTCCGTTAATTCTCTTTCTAAGCTTTTACAATGACAGTAAGTAACATAGCAGTAATCCTACACTGACCTATTTAAATAGTTTTATCTTTTTTAAATTTTTTTTTTTTTTTTTTTTACTCAAAACTCATCTGGAATCATGAACAACAAAATGTAGTCCATGATTCTGAACAAATAAAAATCTAATTTTGGGGGGAATCTGCCTGAGCTTTAACTAGACCTCTCTACACACAGATATACTTTGATCTAAAGTTTTCCTTTGCGACCTCTGATTTTTTTCTTTTAGCACAAAATGTGGAAAACCTGTGATTTCCTTTCGGCAAATGATAAGACTTTAAACAAAAACAAAAAACAATAAATAAATGAAAACTGCTTTTGCCTTAAGTTTTGTTTTCTTGGCAAACTCATTACCTGGCAGACCCCAGGAAGTGTTATATTCAGCTACTGAGAAATGTATGAAGTTCATTATTTCTATCCAATCAAGTTTTATTCAAATATTTGTTTATAGCCAACATCTGCTCTTTTGGCAATTAGGCACAGTTTCTTAATGAATTTACCACCTTAACAGATATTTATTGTGTGAAACTTCACGTTGCAATTGACGACAATCATAGAGTGACACTGCATTAACAATTAATAAAGAAAATAAGGTGCAGCCTTAGTCTTGGTTTTCCTACTGAAAAGCATTTTGCTGTTGCTTGTTTTCTTCTTGGGACTCTTGAATAAAAACTCTGAGGCCTTTATGATCAGATGTATTTATAGAGAGATTAAATCGTCCAAATGTGGACTCTGTTTACTAATAAAGTGTCTTCTGATAGCATTAAGTTGCAGTGTAAAAGGGCCTATATAAATTGGATTTGGATTATACTGTACAGATGTTTGAGAAACATGTTCTATTCACCTTTCATTTGACAATCACTTTCCTCTTTGTTCTGATCAATGGAATAACATCTGATAAAGAACGTCAAAGTATGTCTTTTTTTACAGCGTAAAGAAGGACAGAAGTTAAAGGGGTTCCGATAATTTTGTAATGCATTATATAGACTGTTTTTTTTTTTTTTTTATTAAAACTCAGAGTTCAGAGATGCGACCACTAACAGTTTTGCACCTGGCTAAAAAAATCCCATAGTAATTCCTTCAGGATGCTTCAGGATGGTGAAGCTAAAGGTCACTTAAAGCACTTACCCTGCAGTTTTCATCTGACACCATAGAAGAAGAGCATCTTTAGCAGAGTGTGTCTCCTTCTGGTCTGCCTGGCCTGTTTCCACAATGATGTCCTGGATCTGAGGAGGAGAAGGAAACACAGAAAGGAGGATGAATAATAAAACTTACCTAATCTTTTATTGTTACAATGAGGAGAGGACACTGTGGGCCTTTTATCCTTTTCCCTTTTTCTTTGTGTAAAATCCAACTAATCTCCAGTGATGTGTCATTAATGTTATTAGTCAGAGAGGATTATTACACAACTCAACAGTAACTAAGATGGATGCAAAATAGGTGTTATTGACTGTAGCTCTTTTCCTACACACTGGGCCGATAATTAGAGCAGTGATGTGATACAAGAGACAGGTCCAGAGAGATTGCTAAATTTAGCTTTCTTTGGTTCTCCTTGGTTAGTTCAGACTGGAAATACAGCCTGTTTATTTCTTTTACTTATCTTTTGAAGAGGCTGAATAATGGAGCAGGACTGATTGTTTGAACCATCATTTCTAAAAATAACCATGCTGCTGTCAAATTAAAAATAAATCTATGGCCCAAATCCTGGAAGATAACAGCAAAAATGACGTGTTTGATGTGCGTCTAAAAGACAAAAAAGACTGGAGCCTGAAGGCATCATTCCAGGAGAAATAATCCTCAAGCTCCAAGTTGAAATGATCCTCGATGTTCCTGTGAACACATTCAGACTATGATAACTTGAGGGTTTTTTTGTTTTTTTTTTGGTGTAACTGAAAAGGTGAAAAGGAAAAAAAAAAAACATAGATTTTGCAATTTTCTAAAATGTTAATTAATTTAACATAACATAAGTTTTTAATGGGATTTAGAAAAAAAAAAAAACTTAATGGGAGGTCACGCTTCTTCCAGGATTTAAATTTTCTGCAGGGCTGAGTTTGCAGTTTATTCAGGCTGCTATAACAGGCAGCAAATAACAGGAAGTTAAATAAATTACAGCTGAAATTATCTGCTTATCCTTTTTAGTTTGTTTTCTTTTTGTTTTTTATATCTCATAGTTAAAGTAGGGTTTGCTTTACTACACAGGGAAAGGACACAACCATGGCAATACAAACACAGCTAACCAGGGTAAATGCTTCTTTAAAGATGTTTAAAATGATGCCTCTTTAATATTTTATTCTTAAACTTGAGCTTTGTTAATTTTCAGAACTGTGTAACACTGGTACATGATGAAAGATCAAATAAAAACATCCTTATGCCCCATTTAGGTACAATACACCCCAAAACCTAAAAAAACGATTACATTTTGAACTCCTAAAACAAACTTTTGTGGATAGGACAACAAATCTAGCCCAGGGACCCACATTTTATACACTGCATTTAATTTAATCAGAGATAATTTAAGGACTTTTTATTGGGTAATAATCTCTTTAAAAAAACATTTTGATCATAGTGGTTATAAAGAACATTTTAAGTAAATAATCTACCAAGAAATATCTTCAACAAATAGGGACATATACTAAACACTCTGCTTCAAGACAGGTATGTTTACATTTTCTGCAGTCATTCTAATCTTATTCAATGTGTAATTCATTGCACAAGTGGGATCACATGACACCTCCTTTTACACTCTTCTATTTACAAATAAATATAGATACATAAGCCCAGTAAATGTGACTCTGCTGCTTGCAGTTAAAGATCATGTATGTTTATAAGCAGAAGAGTAACTAAATGGGGTGTAGCAGGAGATGAGGCATGCAAAAACAGAGACGCAGCAACTACTTATATTTTGTGAGCAAAATCTGACATCCATTAATAATGACCATGGCTTACATGGATTATAAACACTGTCCTTGTAAATGAATAAAGACGTGTGCCGAGAAAAGGGTGAGGGATAACATCACATCAAATAAATGTTGTTCACATAAAGGCACTCAGTAGCAAAGTAAAACACAATGAGACTCTTAATTTATCCAGTAAAAACAGGGAAGTTCAACCGTTTATAACAAATGATGTGTCTGTTCGTCCATTATTAGGTTTAAGACAGGCAGACGGAGCCTGGGTTTACCTGGAAACGCAGGATGATGGTCCAGATGAGCCCGAGGATGAGGCGGTGGTTGCCATCGACAATGTCATGGGACCCCATGTTCTCCAGGTGAACTCTCTGCTCTTTGAGAAACTGCAAGGCCTTGTCCACATTTTCCAGACAGTGGATACGCATCCGGCCTCTAGTTGGCTTTGGCTACAAAGGAAACGAGGTGGAAAAGGAAAAAAGGAAATGAGAAAGGAAAAAGACAACAAACAAACAAATCAACATTCGGGGGGAAAAACTTTAGGCTGCGACCACAAAGCTCACCAGACGTTCTCCAGACAGAACCTCCAGCAGTTTAATTAGCATGCGTCCGTCGCGCAGGTCCAGGTAGAGGTCAGAGATGCGACAGCCAACTCGGGAAAGGATGGAGTTGACCCATTTAGTAAAGGTCTTCTTTTGAACGGCCTCACGCTCATCTGGAGAGATAACATAGTTACCAAAGAACATGAGCTCTATGAATAATGCACCGCCTCATGGCAGCAGAGCAGCATCACTGAAGCTGGTAGGGATTTTCTGTCTCCAACAAGGGCACTTCAAACAGAAACATGGCCGTGCATCTTAGTGTTTTCAAAGGAAAACTGATGGGAACTTTTATTACGTAAATGAATGTGCTGATAACATTAACCTTATATTCAACAGTGTCTTTTAGAAGTTCTTATACCCCTTTGATCTTGACTCATATTGTAACATTAAAAGTCAAAATCTCAGTATTTTAATCATAGTTCGAACTCATTCTCTAAGTAAAAAATGTGTCATAAATGTGTATCACGCCCCAAAAGCAATCATTTTCAGGACCACTTTGTTGTGGTCAGATCTGCGAGTCATTTGGGATGTTTCTCTATCAACTCTGCAAATTAAAAACTGAAAGTTTGACCATTTATTAAAAGATCAGTAAATCAAAAGTGAATGAAGTAGATATCAGTGAACATCAATTTCAACTTTTACTACAGAAATGTGTGTTTTATAACCATTTAATTGCAACTATGGCAGCTTTGGTTTGTTTCCTGCTGGATGGAGACAAGCAGCCAGAAGCAGAGCAGCCAGAAGCAGAGCTCCACCTCAGTCTGAAGGTTTGAATGAAGCCTCTAACTGGTTTCCTTTCTGGTTAATTCTGTTTACTACAGAACTTAATGACCTAAATCTACATTCCCATAGATTTTCACCAGATTCTCTGTCCCATCTGAAGAAAGTATCCCTACAGCATGATACTTCCCCCACCATGTTTCAGCATGAGCGTGTTGTGTTCAGAATTTACCAAATACAACAGAAGAGTTGTGCTCATAAGCAAAAATAAGTTCCATCTTGGTTTCTTCTAACCATAGCATCTCCTTCTATGTGTTTGCTCTTTGCCCTCTTATGATTTTACACTCTGAAAAGCAACAGTTGGTTATCTTGTCACCACAGTGCAGATCACATCTCCTGAGACAAAGACCTCTGCAGAGGTGGCAGTTATTAAGAGTCTACCGGTCAGGTCTCTTATCAATGATGCATTTGCACAGCCTCTCTTTTTAGATGGATAGCCGCGTTTTTGTTCATTTTTAGATGTGTCATAGTCTTTTAATTTTCTGATGATGGATAGTTCAGTGTGATGTTTAAAGCTCAATACATGGCTTCCTTAGTTAACTCCTTAAACTGACCTGTCTGCTGTATTTTTTGCTCTTCTTGATGCTGTTTATTCGCTTATCTTCTCTTAATCTCTGCTCAGATTTCATCTGTAGAAACATGTACCGTTGTCTTTCCACTTCCCATGTGCTACTTTGTTTTGTACTGAATAGACTACCTTTATGACCGTGGTTGAAACATGATGAAAAACAACATTTTTAAAGCAGTATAAAAACACCTGCAAAGGACTTTAGTACAGAGATGAACTGACCAGCTAAATATTTCATGAAGTGAGTTTTGTCTGCATCTGTTTAACATATTTCTTTGGCAAGGTCCAACCAAATTAGCAAGATGAAGGTGAACAGTAGGGCATAGCTTTCTCATTACACTTCCTTAATTCCCCTTACAGCTGAATGCAGATACATTTATTTATTCACACAGCTCTTAAACATTTGTGTCATCAATGAGACATTTCCAGCCTGAGTTTTCCCTTTATGAGACACATCAGTTCCCTAAAGGTTACCCTACTTATCCCCAACCCCACAATGACTTTTGGACTAAAGTGAGGAAGCATGCAAGGCTAAGGAGCGGCTAGGGCGGAGATGTTAGAGGTACTGTATTAACGGTTAAATGGGAGACGGTATGCAAGGTTAGATCGATGAGGAGGCATAAACTCTGGACAGAAGTAAACTTGGCAAGATGAAGAGCACCCTGGGATGCAGCCTGTTAGGTTTACAGTGCAGAGGGATAGCGAGATAAACAAGAACAAAACACCGTCAGTATATCCCCCGCTGCTGCCAAAAAACACCCAGTAAGCTCCTTTACCGCTCCAGCTGAAGTCCCACCAACATCCAGAAAAACCAATCAGGAGTTACAGTATGTAAGAACACATGGTGCAGCAGGGTACAGTAAATAAATCATGCTGCACTCTGCTCCCCTCAGCAGAACAACAGCACACCATGCTCCACTGCATCCACTTGGAAATCCGACGTAATGAAAAAGTAATGGAAATTAAAACATGAAAAATAATTCCAAGGCTCCAGCACAAATGCTGGAACAGAACACAGAGACAGAAGAATACCCTGACTAAAAACTGTGACAAATCTTCTGAAATATCTGGGGTGAAGAGGATTTCACAGCACAGCCAGTGAGAGGCCAATTAAAGTGCATCCCCGCTCTGTTTGGCCATATCATATCACAATAAGAGACCTTGAGAAGGGACAGCACAGGGAAGTCCTCTGCCAAGTCGGCAGCAATGGGAAAACAGAGTGAGTAATGTGGAGGAGTTATTGTTTTCATGCATCCTGCTAAGCTTTTTGCAGATGAGGAATAACTTGATATGACAACAGCTCTGAGTAAACCACACAAAGCCTTAAGCACTCTTGAAAAGAAAGCGCTGCTTAATCCTTAAATTTCATCCGCATTTTTTTTACAGAGTTACAGAAGATTAACTATTATCAATGTGATTAGTCACAATATACAATACTATCTAGTTTTATCAGCATAAATTTAAAAAAAGTCTTAATCATCCAAATACTGTCAGAGAAAAATTAGGAAGTGAAAATAAAAGACAATTACAATGATTTCAATATATTTCCTTAAATCCAAACACAAGCTGCAGAAGTTAGTCAATTAGCATTAAAAAAAAGCTCTGAGGAATAATGAAGCTGCTCCTTTGTAAACTTACAGCTGAGAATTTTGATGTGGGCAGCTACCCAGGGTCGCAGTAACCTATCTGCCAGTTGTGGCTAGCATGTGTGTCCTGTTGCTTTTATGAATTTGCAGTCAACGGAGAGTTATAAAGTATTCAATCATTTTATTTAAGTTTGCCCTAAATGTGATAAGCTGGCTGTAACTCTTTACCCAGTAATATGATTATTTTGTAGTCCTGAAGCTGCGTATCTGCCGATCTTCTCTGTTCCAGACTAACACTGTTGCTCCCTGTGATTGAATCTGACTCCATCTTCAGGTTCAGCAGCAAACAGTAAGGCTGATCACAACTCCGTGATCATCCTTACTGCTCCTGTTTTGCTCTGACCAAACTACAGCTGCTTTTTTTTGCAGTTTATGGGTAACATTGTCTCTCAAAAAGTCCCATCAACAGTCATAAATAAATATCTGCCCATACCTCTGTTGTTATAATCTGCAGCTTCAGCGACAGAGCTATTTTAGCCAACATCAGCTCCACATGCTTAAAGGTTTTTCAGGTCTCTCCATTCGTTATAACTTTTAGTTTTGTATTATGTTTGTCTAAAATTCCACGAGTGATTCTGAGCATGGAGAGATACCTAAAAAGCCCAGTAACTCATGTGTGACATAATGGGTTAAATTACTAGCTTGATGAATATTGTATTCTGGCTACACTGTTCAGAACCTTGGACAACTCAACTTCAATCACCCAACACTCTACTGACTTATGAATGAACACAGATATTTGGAGGTTAAAGGAATAGTACACCCAAAACATGATTAGCCTTCATTTTCTACTCACCCCCATGCTGAACAACACTCTGGAGTACTTTTTTGATATCTCAAATGCATCTGGAGATCTGGGAGGCTTCTTGCTGTCTGCTGACATTCAAATAATGGAGGTCTATGGCGCCCGAGACAGAAAGGTCCATAAAAGTCCACAAAAAACGTGTCAATATTCCTCCATACTGGTCGTCCAATGTATTCCAAGTGTCCTGAGTGGGTAGCGTCCATAATTTACTCGAAACGAAGTCATTTAGAATGTTTTTAGAGCATAAACAGTAGTGTATAGGATTTCCTGAAAGCGCGCACATGCGCGATCACGACGCTACGGAAGCCGGCAGACCAAACCAGATGAAAGTGCACATTCAGTGTCTGCTCTTCCAATAATGCAAGCGTAGAAGAAGAAATGTGCCGTTTACCTGTGCAAAGAAAGAAACAACGAAAGAAAAATGTCTGAGGACTTCAGTTTTGAGGAAGAGCATGAGTTCTTTGCCGAGCTGAATGCGCTGGTTTGGTCTGCCGGCTTCCGTAGCGTCGTGATCGCGCATGTGTGCGCTTTCAGGAAATCCTATACACTACTGTTTATGCTCTAAAAACATTCTAAATGACTTCGTTTCGAGTAAATTCTGGACGCTACCCACTCAGGAAACTTGGAATACATTGGACGAGCAGTAAGGAGGAATATTGAAACGTTTTTTGTGGACTTTTATGGACCTTTCTGCCTCGGGCGCTGAGCACCTCCATTATTTGAATGTCAGCAGACAGCAAGAAGCCTCCCAGATCTCCAGATGCCTTTGAGATATCAAAAAAGTACTCCAGAGTGTTGTTCAGCATGGGGGTGAGTAGAAAATGAAGGCTAATCATGTTTTGGGTGTACTAGACAGAAGCTGAAAATAACAGACAGAAGAGCCAATCTGCACAAACCTAAAAAGGCAACATTATGGAAATTTTTTGTTTTTTTCCATAATTCAGGCGAATAACTTAACACTGCATCCTATCTACATTATATAAAAGAATTTGTGTAAGCTTCAGATCTAGGTTTGTTTTAAAAGACTAGACTTAGACAATCTTTAGCTGTATTTTGTATGCACAGAGTGTATACAACACAAAATTTTTATGAAAACAGCTTTTCAACTGTGAATGAGCAGCTTACAGCAGTGAAATGAGCAAAAACATGATGTATTTAGTGTAAAATGATCCTTTTTTCACCAATCAGTATTAACATTTCTCTTTACCAACAGTAGATTAACAGGCCAATGAATGAAAACAGATGAGACATACATTTATCTAAATAACTGCATGGTGCAAACTTCCAAGGATGATAAAACATATTCTAGGTGTT